GGCCTTGCACATGCTAGACAAATGCTTTATCATTGATTTATACCCCCGAGCCCTCATTCTTGATAGGATTTTTTGTTGACTTTTTCTTTTATCCCCTCTCTAGAGCACTTTGAATGCCATCCCTGCCTCTGGCCTCCATTTTTTTCAGCTCTCACTCTTACTGAAGTTGCCTTTCCACTTTCTGTTTACTGCTCAAATTTTTCTGTTTGAGTTCAGCATTTTTACTATGATATGTCTGCAGGTCCCTTTGCATTTACTATGCTTCAAGGTCACTGACCTTCCTGGATGTTTTTCAGTAAACTCAGGGAGTTTACAGTCATTATTTTAATTTTTCTTCTTTCCCTCTTGTTCTTGAAAATCCATTACATATACATTTAACTGTGTTTTAATGGCGTACTTGGTGACGTCTCACATTTCTCTAAGGCTGTGTTCATTTTTCTTCTTTTTCCTATTCTTCAGATAGCATAATCTGTCAATCTTCAAGGTGATGGAATATTTCTCCTGCTAATTCGAATCTACTGTTGACTTCTCTACTGCATTTTTTAATAATAGTATTAAACTCCATTAATTTAGCTCCTACAACTTGGAGCTAAGGCAGTTGGAGAAATGCTGACAGCCTACCCCTCCCAGTGAGGTACTTTATCCCTTGACTGTGAGCTGAGAGGGAGCTCAGTTTTCTTGAAATACATACCTGGAGCCTCTAGGTGAGGGAAATGTTGTATCTCAAACATCATAGACTCACTGTTCTTACCAAGGTTTAGTAGGTTTTCTTCAATAAGTATTACTTCATTCACATATAATTTTAGGACAATTTCCAAAAACATCATATATGTTTTTACAAATTTCACTGATTATGTTTGATTCATGGGTCTGTAGGGCCCATCACACTGACATTTTGGAAATGGAAGTCTAAGGGATGTTTTGAAGTTGGAAAATTTATACTGTGTACTTCACCACACTAAGAGTGACATTAAAGATGAAGATCTACACAATTTTATCAATTTAACAGAATAAACAATCCAGAAACTTTCCCATTAATTATATGGAAGTGGTATATAATGTAAAGATGATTTTATATATTAGGAGGAAAAGGATGAACTTTTAGGAAACCAGGTTAGGGAACAGCTTCTTAAATAAGGAGACGAAACATGGGAAGACTAAATTCACTATATTTAAAATTTTAAAACTCCTGAATAATAAAACTCAAAAAGTACATCTATGGATGTTTTAATCTCCTTATGTAAAAGTAAAAAAGAAAAGATCTCCAACCCCAAAATCTATACCCAGTGGTAAGCCTAATATGAACTATAAAAGATTTTGAACAGTTATTAAAATTTTATCCAAGAATATAAAGGACTTAAAATGAGGCCCATCATGAAACTAATGGGTAAAATTATATTACTTATGAAAAAGTCTATTATCCTTAAACTAATAAAGTAATACAATCTCAATCAAAAGAATAACACAATTTTAGTGGAACTTAATAAGCTGATTGTACAATTAATTTGGAACTGAAAATGCACAAGACACCAAAGAGAGTAAAAAAGGAAGTGGGACTTGTCCACAAGCGGCAAAATATGGCGCAAAACCAAATGACAGTGTGAAGAGTGTGGTAAAATAGACATCTAGATACATTTCTAGAAGTAAATGACATAATATATGATGAGTTAAAACTTGGGATTTTAACTGGGCAGAAAAAATAATAGACTATTCATTAATAGCTATGAAAACTGCCTTTTATTTCTGTGTGGAACAACCCTAAAAAATTTAATAACTCATAAAAACCCAGGCAAATATGAYATGAACAGGCATGATACAGCAGAGATCTACAAATAATCAATAAACATAGAAATGTTTGGTTTTATGGTAATCAGGAATATTCAAATTAAACCAAGGTTATTTTCAACCACAAGATTTTCACAAAAACCTACTGAGCCTGAGACTATCTACCTCCTGCTGCCATGGGTGTGGAGAAACTGGTCCTTTCAATGTATTGTGAATTGGAGGAAATAAATTCACTACATTCATTGCAAAATATTAAAATGGGGGCTGGGGTTGTGGCTCGGTGGTAGAGCGCTTGCCTGGAATGTGTGAGGTACTGGGTTCAATTCTCAGCACCACATATAAATAAATAAATGTCCATTCACAACTAAAAAACTTTTTAAACTGTTATTATTTTTAAGCTAGCAATTCCATGAAAGTATAGCTGTAAGAATGAAAAGATGTCTGTATATAATGTTAATTTCAGTTGCAATAAGGATGATATAATTCCATTAATGTAAATTACATGTAATAAACAAATTAGCTCCTATAATAGGAACTCCAAAATACAATGGTTTAAATAAGTGGGTAGTTTATTTTACTCTTAAGTAACAGAGCAAAGAGCACAGTTCAATACTGGCAGATCAACTTCTCCATCCTCAACACATAACCTCTTTGGAGATGCCAGGGCATGCCGAAGCTCCCATGGGCGTTCCCACCAGCAAGAAGGGAATGTCAAGAAGAGTATACACTAATTCCTTACTGAAGACTCTATCTGGAAGTTTTACATCCCACAGCCCCAAACTTCAACATGTGGCCATACTCAACTATCACATAGGTTGGGAAGTATAGTCATTAGCTGAACAACCATGTGTCCAAGTAAAGTTCAGGAATTTTATTAAAGGAAGAAAGGGGAAATACACACATTATGGCAATAAATTTTTGCCACTTGCTTCATAAATGTGTGGAAAACAGCCTGGAAGAACACACACACATATCTGTATAGGAACTATATACATTCCAAATATAGAATTTAGCTCTGGAACCCGAGCAAGATTGGTGCATGGGTGGGAAGATAGATAGCATGCGTATTGCTTGAAATTTTTTAACAGTGACGGTACATTCACATAGTAACTAAGGAATTTTAAAAATTTGACAAAAATTTCAAGTCCTTTATTTGTATTAATATAATACATTCAATACATTAAATCTATTCACAATGTACAAAGAATTTAATGTTCCAAAAATTAACTTTCATCTAAATGAATAAGTTACTCTATATTGTTAAAACTTTTCCATTTAGAGCACTGTTCTTTAATGCCCTTCACCCCGGAGACATAAAGACCATGTTTACAGATCACAGGTACACAACCTACTCAAGACCATGGCTTGTCAGCAGCAGAACCGGAAAGAGGACTATCTTGCACTTATTGCATCATGCTTTTATTTCTTGCTCAAAGAGAAGGTTACAACTTCTCTAGCTCAATATAATTTAGATTCAGACTCTATAAGGATGATGTCCAAATGCTCCTCACTAGTGAACCAGATCAGTATTTTACCCTGAGAACAAGCCTGGAGGGGGAGATACAATTTTCTTATATGCTAATGATTATAAATAAAAAACGTACCCCATAAACAGTCACACGTTTTGATTCTTTTTAGGATTTATTGAGTGGTTTAGAAATCCCTTCTAAGACCTCTAGATAATAATGACAAAATGAAGAAAATATATATGAATATTTATGAATCAAACTAAAAGCAAACAAAATGAATAAGACAGAATCCAAGAAAAGAAGTAGAAAATATAGGATAGGAATATAACTCTGCTAAGGGAAGGGAACCCTGGCCTAAGCTATCTAAAGAAAGAACAGCGAATCTCAAACCAGGGTCCCCCAACCAAAGCCACATGCATCCTGGCAGGGGTACCACCTGCACAGAACCCTCCCCTCTGGATTGCAGGGAAAAGCAAGTATCAGGTTTACACACAGCTGTTCACTTAAGCATGAGTTTAAGATTTAAGAATACCACATGGGAGGGAGGCAAGCAAAATACAAAGAAATGACAAAGAAAAAAATAACAAGTTGCAGAAAACACATCCAAGCAACAAACTGCACTGTGACGGCTTAGAAGAAATTTAAGGAATGCAATGAACTTGAGAAAACAAGACTTGAAATGATTAAAAAAAAAAAAAAAAACCTATGAGAAGTAAACAAGAAAAGCAAAGCTAAGAAAATAAACTGAGGATTAAGGCTACACGATCACAGAACCATAAATATAACAGACTCTAACAGTCTCTAAGAACACAATTAGCTGAAAACCATTAAAACAGGAGAGTATCACAGTGAATGCCAGCACAAGAGGTGAATGCCACTAGAAAGAAGATTAAGACTTAGACAATGGTGGTCATATCTACAACAATCAGTGCCCTCAGCAAAGCAAGCTCAACAAATGAAACAACAGATCTTCAGACACCAGCCAGCAAGAGGACAAAGAGAGCACTGCACGGTGGTCACCTCATGGTGAGGAGGGGATGCCTGGCTGTGGTCCACAGTGTAGTACTCATGTGTTCTTTCATGCATGTACTTTTGGTTTTTCTTGGATATTCCTTTTTTTTTTTTTAAATGATAACACATTTTATTTTCCTAAAACCAATAGTGAGAATAGGGAGGAAAATGTATGTTTTGCTTAAAGCCAGAGTAAAATGAGTACACTAAAACTTTTGACAAATATTTGCTTTATTATTTATTACCAGGCTTTCATGCTTTACTAATAAAAATGCTCTCCGACTAGAGATGTCGCTCAGAGGTACAGTGCATGCTTAGCACATATGAGGCTCTGGATTAAATCCCCAGCTTCCAAAAAAGGGAGAAAAAACCTGCAAATTTAATTGTATTTTTTAAAGGAGGATTGTTTAAAGGCAATTAATATGATGTAAATTTGAAATATTATCTTTTCATGTATGGCAGATGATAAATTTAAACATTTAAAAATTATGCATCAAAATACTGTTATCAGATATTGATAAACTAATTTACTGAATAGGCTGACTAAATGTAAGACATGTTTTTAGCACCAGTAAAAAGAATTGAGACTTCTACAACTTCTTCTTTTTCTTCTTTTACTTAGAGTACTGGGAATCCAACCCAGGGAGCTTTACTACTGAGCAACATCTCCAACCCTTCTTACTTTTTACTTTAAAGTAAAAAGGGTCTCGCTAAATTGCTGATGGTGGCCTTCAACCTGAGATTCTCTTGTCTCAGCCTCCTGAGTCACTGGGATTTTAGGAGTGCACCACAGCACGCAGCTCTATTCTGTAAACTTCTAAATGAATAGTTATATGCTCCCTGACACCATCTTTTGGGTAAAGGAACAAATGTGCTCCAAGAAGCAACTGTTAAGTCCCTGATTTTAGAACACAATTCATAATGGAAAAAAAAAAAATCATCCAAGTATTTTTCTTCTAATAGCATTATTAAAACTTCTGTTTTGGAGAAGAGTTTTTTTCTTTAAAGTTTTAGTTATGAGGTAGATGCCATTTTAAAGTACACATAGGGGCAGCCAACTTTCCTTGACAAACATATGATTATTAAGCACAAGTTGGTAATCATACACTTCCAGTAGAAGACATGACTGAAAATTTAGTGTTGTTTAGCAGTACTCTGGCTTGAGTTTCCAAATTCCTTCACCTCGAGGAGTTCTATGAAAAGTGCACAGATTTCTCAATAGTTCCCGAAAGACACAAGACTGTGACGCTGATAGCTTGGACTCAAATTCCTGCAGAATCTCCTGAGTGCTGGCCTGGCCGTCAATGTGGGCCTGAAAAGCAATGAAGTTCCTCATTTCCACCAGCAGGTCATCATGTTCTGTGGTGAGCGCCTGAGGGGCAGAAGCCTCTGGCAGGTGTCCACTTTCACTCTCTAACCCCTCTGGGAGAATTAGGTGATTTCTCGCTCTCATTCTGGCCAAGAGTGAGGAGGAAGCAAGAGCCCCAGAAGAAGACTCTGAATCTTCTGCTTTTCCACTGAAGTGATCAAGGCCATGATCTTTTCCCTCCTTTTTCATGACACCATCCTGCAGGAAAAAGAGCACTACATTGATAGGTGGAATTCTAGATTATGCCCCTACTTAGTTCCCCAAAGGCTGTGAGGGGTTGAAAAATAATTCAGGTGCCAGGTGGTGAGGTAATGGTGGAAAGAATGAAACTCCACATAACACCAAAGGAAAGGAAGTAAGCCAGACATTTGAGTCCATACACAGTTGAAGAATATTTCCTAAAACTAGGACAGCAAATTGGTGCAACCATTATGGAAAGCAGTATGGAGATTCTTCAGAAAACTTGGAATGGAACCACTATTTGACCCAGCTATCCCTCTCCTTGGTGTATACCCAAAGGACTTAAAGTCAGGATTCTATAGTGTTGCAGCCACATCAATGTTTATAGCAGCTCAATTCACAATAGCAAAACAATGGAACCAACCTAGGTGTCCGTCAGCATAGGAATAGATAAAGAAAATGTCAAATATATACACAATGGAATATTACTAAGCCTTAAAGAAGAATGAAATTATAGCATTTGCCAGTAAATGGATGGAGCTGGAGAATATCATGCAAAGCCAAATAATCGAATCCCAAAAAACCAAAGGCCGAATGAATCTCTGACATGCAGATGCCAATTCACAATACAGAGCAGGGCTAGGGAAGAATAGAGTTACTTTAGATAGAGGGGAGTGAAGGGATGGGAGAGGGTATGGGGTAGGAAGGATAACAGAATGAATCAGGCATTATTACCCTATGTACATATATGACTGACTACACGACTGGTGTAATTCTACATCATGTACAACCAGAAGAATGAGAAATTATACTCCATTTACGTATGATGTGTCAAAGTGCATTCTACTGTCATGCATAACTAATTAGAATTTTATATATATATATATATATATATATATATATATATATATATTGTGTGTGTGTCTAAATAAATAAAAAGGAAGAAATAGTAGGCCACTCCATGGGTTACCACTCTGCATACAAGAGCAGAGGGAGACAGGGTGGAAGGGCTGTCCTTCAGGCACTGCTCCTAGGAGGCTTCCTGGAGACACTTTCTGTGGCTAGGAGACTTATTCTGTTCTTAATTTCCCATGCACCCTGTCTGAAACTCAGTGAGATAAGCAGCAATATCACAGCTACACTTTTTCTTCACTTTTAAGCCTTCTCACTCTTTCCTACAGAGATAGGAATTAGGGAATAAAGGGAGACACACTGAGTGCCAAAAGAAAAGTCCATATACCACTGAAATGCAGACAGAAACCATGAATAATTGCAAACTCCTGGTTGGCAAGCCCCTGAATCCATGCGCTTGTAACATAAGGTCAATGTGCAAGTGCAGGGAAAATTGTTACAAATTGTGTAGCTCCAACCTGGATCCACCTCTAATCCAGTACCTAGCACCAGCCCTCTATGAATATTAACATCCCACACCAAGGATTGTTACAAATTGTGTAGCTCCAACCTGGATCCACCTCTAATCCAGTACCTAGCACCAGCCCTCTATGAATATTAACATCCCACACCAAGGGATTGCCGTCTCTCCCTCTAAAGATTTCCTGCATTTTCTCTTGAATGTGTATTCCTTGCTTTATCCTAAAGGCATCTCTTTTGAGATTGCCCCATTCTCCCTTGAATTTCTATCTACTTTCTTAAATAAACCTTTGTGCCTTTGGCATGTATTGCAAATTCTTTTCTATCACATATGTCAAGAACCCTGGAGGTCCTGAGTCAAGTTCTCTTTGGGAACTCCTTGGATTCTTTGGAGACCTGTCTTCTCCCTTGATACTATGTTATAACTCACGAGAATTTCCCTAAAACAATWAAAACTAACTTAGAAGGGGCCTCAAACTACTACTCAAAAGCACAAAACAGACAGTCAGAAAGGTTCTCTATTCCTAAATGTGTTTATACTAATCTAAAATTGGAATCTGAACCTGGGAATTTTTAAGTTTTCTCATTAACGCAGAAAGACAAAGAATGCTGAATGGTGCAGTTTGACCCAGTTTTCCTCTTACTGAAGTGCTTAGGGCATATGGTGTGCTCCAGAACAGGGAGAGATAAGCACATAGTCAATATAAACTCCAACACTCAAGGTTGTTTTTGGTAGCTTCATTCTAGAGGAMGGTGGTCTCTAGGCACGTTCCCTCCAGGCTGTCTTCCCAGCAATACTTTTTTTCCTGTATTAACTTTCTGAGGGCAATAACCATCTTCATATCCAGAATTTGGTGAAATTTTCCTGGCAATTCAATCAAGAAACTCCCCCACATTAACAGCAAACATGCTATCTTATTACCTGGCATTTATCTGTTGGAGATGTTGAAGGACGCTGCACAGAGAGGTTAGAGTTCTTTTTCTGACCAAATCTACTCCTAAATAAGAAAAAGAATCACAGTAGATAAAATGTTAGTTTTTGTGACGTGATGATCAAAATACTTCTTTAATAGCTAAATTTGTTCTGGAAAATTATCATCATCAAGGTTATRGTTTCAAAAGCATGTCATTTTTGGTTTTCAAGCTGTCTGCTTTGATTATTCCACTTCGTTCTACTGGGAAGTAACTGATGCATCTTGGAATGAGACCCACTCAGTATCCTCATTCAGCACATGAAAGCAATCACATTCACATTATAGGTAGGAAAGTTATTCTAAAAATGGCAAACTGAACAGCATAGTAATTACTGATTGGTGTAAGTTGGCTAATCATCTTATTAAAGTTTAATCATTATTCTAAATCTTACAGTATTTTAAAAATTTTTTTAGTTGTATATGGACACAATACCTTTACTTTATTTTTATGTGGTGCTGAGGATCAAACCCAGAGCCTCACACATGCTAGGTGAGCACTCTACCACTGAGCCACAACCTCAACCCTTTTGTACTATTTTTAACATTACCATCTTTCAAATAAAACTGATTACTACTTCTCCTGAAATTCAGCTTTAGAAAGTAAGGAATGAAAGTGAGGAAGAAGGTAAGACCACTGTATTTCCCAAATCACCCACTCTGATGTACACAATGCTTCCCTGAGAGATTTCCTATTACTGCAGATAAGCAAGCAGGTGAGCATGTTCACCTGCCCTGACTTTTCTGCTAGTCTTCACTGTTTGTCCTGCTTGTAAACATGGCAGGGAGCAATCTCTTACTTTATTCCTGCTGGTGCACCTGAAGTCCCCCTGTGGCCAGTCCAGGTGGGGATACCAGACATTGCCCCAAGACACCTTTGTCGAGAGAGCCTCAGGGCTTTCAAGGCATCCTGGGCCACTCGGTTGGCTTCTGCCTCTACCAGGACATAATCCGGGCTGGCTCCATCTATGATTGCATCGTGCTTCACCACGCTGTGCACACCCACTGATAAGAACAAAGAAAACAGCGAGAGTCACATTTCAGTTCATTGAACAGGATACTATTTTCCCTCTATAATAGTCTAGGGTTGTAGGAGATGAAAAGAACATCTTTAGCTGCTATTTGCGAAGTGGCTGTTAGAACTCAGGAACTTCACAAAAACCACTTCTATTCACCCTCACTACTACCCTAAGGGGGAGAGTTATTAATTATCCCTCTTTTACCAGGAAGAAAGTAATAAAGAAAAAAGCGAAAATAAGGTAGAGAACAACCACAGATCCAGTTTAATAAATCAAAATCCTAGTTTATTGAAAAATAATACAAAATAGACAACTAACTAGCATGGCTTAATCAAGGGAAATAAAAGGAAAAATAAATTTACAGAATTATAAATAAAAAGGGGGAAATTATTATGGAACAAAGTTAATTTAAAAAAAACACCTCTATGCAAGTTGGAAAACTAAACAAAATAGACAATTTCTAAGGAAAACAGACCAGTAACATAGAAGAAATAAACATAGCACAAAGAATATAGATCAATATCATTTATGAACATCAATAAAAAAATACTAAGTACAATACTAGGAAATAAAACCCCATAACAGTCAGAAAATTATACTCTATGACCAAGTGGAGAGTCATTCTAGAAATCAAGGTTGGTTCAAGATTAAGAATCCCATTATTTAATAATCCATATTATGATGCTGGTGGTTTCAGTATTATCCATAGATTTCTATAGATGCTGCAAATGCCTTTGACAAAATTCAACAGCCATGCAAGAAGAAAACCCCCCAAATTGGGAAGTGATGATATTCCCTTAATATAATAAAACATATACCTTAGTCATAACACCAGAATCTTACTTCATGGGTAAACGATAGAAGTTATTTCCACTGAGAATGGAAAGATGTATATTATCTCCAGTATTCACTTTCCATTTTAATTGAGTTACTAGCCAGTGCAATTAAAAAAAAAAGCAAAATCAATTAAAGACATAAAATGAAAAAGTAAAATTTTCTTTTTGCAGCTTTTTTTTCCTTTATTTTTTTTTCCAGTGCTGGGGATGGAACCTAGGGCCTCGTGCATGCTAGACAAGTGCCCTACCACTGAGTTATGTTCCCGATCCTTCTTTTTGAGGTTTTTAATGACAACCCATCTAGACAATCCTAGAATATCAATGACAAAACTTTAACAATAACTCAGAATTCTAAGAATGAAACATAAAAATTAATATATGGAAATCTATAAGCTTCCTATTCTATTCACAAACAATAGAATTTCTAAAATTTTATTTCCTAGTATTGTACTTAGTAATTTTTATTGATGTTCATAAATGATATTGATCTATATTCTTTGTGCTATGTTTATCATTGATAACTTTCTCTATTTCTTCTATGTTGCTGGTCTGTTTTGCTTAGAAATTGTCTATTTTGTTTAGTTTTCCAACTTGCATCCAGGTGATTTTTTTAAAAAAAGAATACAATGGTGGGAAAAGCTCCATATTACAATAACAAAGAACATAAAACAGGAATAAACCCAAGATACATGTAAAGCCATTACATGCGAGAAAACTTTAAAACATGCCTGGGAGGACACGTTAGGCCTGAACAAATGGAAAGACATCCCTTGCTCTTGACTGGAATGACTTTATAACCTTCCTCCCTGTGCTAATTTATACATTTAGTGTAAATCCAATAAAAAAACAAACAAACCAAGAACTGCTTTTATGAAGCTAGCAAACTGATTCTGACATATGAAAAAACAAACAAGCACAATCAGCTAGGAAAACACCAGAAAGCTATGCCTTAACTGATAGCAGACAAACAGTAGAACACTCTTAATTCCAAGTGTGTTGCCAAGGCAGGAATAAATAAAGCAGGGGATTAGTCACCAAATCTACAAAGGATATAGAAATGCTCTATATAATAAAGGTGGCATCTCAAGTCACTGGAGAAAAACAGATTTTAAATAAACGAAGCTGGAAAAGGTAAGGAGTTACTTAATCCAAGTGGATTAGACAGACTTAAATGTAGGAAAAAAGTCATATAAGTAATATGGTAAAACATGATACAAGTTCAAGAAAATGTGGTGAATTCCATTATTATCTAAGTGTAGAAAATGTTTTTGTTATCAATGACTCAAAATAAATAACAGGTAAGACTGATAAATTTGAATTACCTTTTTGTTTTGTTTTGTTTTTCAAGGGGCTGGAGATCAAACACAGATCCTTGCACATGCTAGGCAAGTGTTCTACCACTCTTATACCCACAGCCCTATATATTTTTCTAGATAACATTTTCATGAATAAAATCATTATAAGTAAAACAAGACAAATTGAGAAAATATATGCAACATATATGATAAATAAATCAATAAATAGGAATGTTTTGAGTTAATATCCTCAATTTATTAAAACAACAACAACAAAAAAACTTAAAGGGGAACAAAAGCCAAAATACTGATTTAGAAAACAGGCAGAAGTCATAAACAAACAATTCTCATGGAAATTAAAAAAAAAAAAAAAGAAAAGGAATAAGATATAAATGGTTCTATAAATGTTGTTCAGCTTCACTCAGTGAAATAAAACAAGGTATCATTCTTCAAATTTTAGATAGCCAAAGTTAAACATAGAACAAACTCTCTTAGCAAGGGTCTGGGACAGTCACTTATACATTACTGGTGACGATTCAATTTGATATAAACCTTATGAAGGGGAAAAGGACATTATCTCCAAAGATCAAAAAAAACATATACACACACATATATATATATATAATTACCTTTTGATGCAGCAATCTCACTTTCAGGAATTTTCTCTGAAACTTTTATCTCTAACACAGTACTAAAGTATATAGGTTATGCTAGCCAGCTTTTTGTCACTGTGACCAAAATATATGACAAGAATAACTTAGGAAAAGTTTACTTTGGTTCATGGTTTCAGAGGTCACAGCTGGCTTCAAGGCAAAAATATCATGGCAGAGGAAAGCTGCTTAGCTTGTGGCAGCAAAAAGAAGAGTAAAGATCCACAGAGAGACACAGTCCAAGGACACATACCCCATGACCTACTTCCTCCAGCCATGCTCTATCTGCCTATTAATACCACCCAATAGTACAGTTATCAATGGATTTATTCATTGATGAGATTACAACCTACATAATCCAATCTTTTTGCCTCTGAACACTGCTGTGTTGCCTAAGATGAAAACTTCTGGGGGGACATTTCCAGATGCAAACCATAACATGAACACAAGATTACTGCAAAGTTGAGATTTAAAAAAAGGTATTAATAATCTAAATGCTCAAATGTGAATAAACTATAGTATGTCCACATAACAGCAATAAAAAAGTAGGAAGCTTTCTATTAATAAATACAGAGTGACTGTCAGGATGTATGACAGTTTTTAAAAGGTTAAGATATTATAGTATGTACCCTTTGTATCAGACTAATATGTGCTACATATTTTGACACAAAGAAACACAGGAAAGAAAGGGTATAAACACATGTAACTGAGGAGGAAGTGATGGAATGGAGGTGAAGGTAACAATTCTTTGAATATATCTATTTGTATAGTTTTGACCTTTATAACTTTATATTAATGTATTATACATTCAAAAAGTAAAATAAACAAGGATGGGGGACCCTAAAATGGATAAAAGCAGAAATAAACTAACCTGTGTTATCAACTGTGACAACAGAGAGAAAGGAGAGGAAAAAGAGGAACCAAGAAACTTTTGACCATATTGTCAAAACTCCAGACCAAAGACAAAAAGAAATATAAAAAAAAATTGAACTCTAGTTAGCATGGTTGTCTTTTGTGGGGGTAAAGGTTTGGAATCCTAATGCTATTATGTATTCTAGGATTGATAAAGGAAGTCAAGCTGCTGAGAAGCTCAGTCTGAAAGAAGAATCACGAGTATGGAAAGGACCCTATGTAGTTGGCTGGGAAATTGCCTATTAAAGTTCAGACAGAACATGTCTATTTAAAGCATTACATCTTGCCTGTGAGTGGTTATTTGTTTCCCAAAGTTTCAAACTTCTCCAGTTCTTCAGAAAAGGGGGTAAATAAAATTTTCAGAATGTCAATACAATTGAAATCTAAATTTTAGAAGGAAAACATCTCTGGTTATGACCCCCCTCTGTATCATCAGTTAAAGGATGCCACACTAGAAATGGCTCCTTGTTCTCGTTCCTAGCACCAGTTGGTAAATGCATCTAAAGTATTACCTGATTTTCTGAAAAGCTTTTCCAAAACATAATCATCACTGCTCCGTTCCTGGGCCTCACTCGCAGGCTCAGTGTCTCGTTTGTGGTACTGCCTTTTCTTCACCAGGTGTGGGACTCGAATTCCTTCAAACTTGGCATCTTTACAATGCTTAGAGTTTTTGGCCTTTGGCTGCTGCCAAAGATGTTTTTCTGAGACCTCTTCTTCTGACACATTATGATGTTTTGTTTTTGACTTGTGCTTATAAAAATGACTTTCAATTTGTTCATTCTTCCTAAGACGTTCTGACTGAACCTGGGAGCTTTCTCCTTTATAAGAAGGACTTTGCTTTTCATCAGTGCTTTCTTCACCGGATGGCTGGGATTTTCCACCAATGCTTGCAGAATCTGAACAGTCCCTATTTCCACTAATCACTATTGGCTCCTCCCATCCAGACACTACTTTTGTCTCTTCTCCAAGCCGATCACTGCTAGTTACGTTCCCATTTCTATGAGGGTTACTTTTTAAAGGATTACTTTCAGTAGAAGTTTCTGTATTTCCTTCAGTTTCTGTTGCCTTAGATTTCTCTTCAGTCAAGAAGGCATCGTTTATAGATGTATCAGAAACAGGAWATTTTCTGCATTTTGGAATTCCACTATCTGTTCCAAAGACTGATGGAATCTTTTTTTTTAAATGGCATTTGGGTGTCTGAACATCTGAACCAGTTCCTTTAAAGAGGGAAAACAATACTAATGTTACATTACATTATTCATATAAAATTGATAATTCTGAATTAAATGACTTTATGTAATACCTGCAAAAATAGCACTAGTTTCAGTGCTCTGTGATGCATCAGGACTAGTCAGAGTAAACAGCTCATAAAGATCATTCGATTTGAAGAACCTCCTTTGTTTTGGATCTTTTAGGATTCTGTTTGTCAAAAAYTGCTTGAAGATTTGTCTATAAAGATAAAAATTATGCTAGTATGAAATAATGTTAGATACACTTCAAATCTTCAGTTATAAAACAACATGAGATATAACTGCATCTGTATAAATGCCTAAATATCCCCAAAACTTTCGGTCTTATAAGATTATAGTTCTGGATGTATATATCAGTTGATCTTCCATGTTTCATAGAATTTAGATTTGAAAGAATACCTTATTAAAATGAGCTTTTACAACCTCAAAACATTTCAAAAAATATTTTTCATACACATTCATGCAGCTAAAAGCTTCTCAAAGCTGCAAGAGTCTCCCTGATTCATGGACCAAAGGTCCCATCTCCTGCCCTGCTCTGACCTTCCTATGATGGGTTCAGGAAACTGACCTGGATTTTGCAAAGTCCTGACTCTGACCTGCCCTGTCAGTTCCCACTTGCTGATCCACACTCTGTGCCAAAGCCCCATACCATTGTCCCTCTTACAGTCATCTCGAGATAGCAGCACTGTTCCCCCAAGTTAAACCTCTCTTCTCACAAAATCCAACTCATCTCCAATCCTCCACAATAGGACTTAAGGACATGGAACATTCTAGGAATGATCCAGGGCACAGTGGAGAGTAGTAGCTTCCCCTTAGCAACTGGGGTATAGCATATAAGAATGAACCCTCCAGTGGGTGGCAAAGTCTGGACTCTACTGCTGAATTTATCACTGCTGAAAACCCCTGCATTCTAAAGAAAGATAGAGGAAGGAACAGATGTCCCATCAACCTCTTTCCAAGAGCCATCTGAGCCCAAGACTATGCTGATCACACCTGAAAGGCATGTGAAAACGCCAATGTTAACTTCAACTCTGCCACTTTTCACAATTTTCCTAAAAGAAAGTGGAATATTGCAGGGCACGGTGGCACACGCCTTTAATTCCAGCGTCTTGAAAGGCTGAGACAGGAGGATTGGAAGTTCAAAACCGGCCTCAGAAAAAGCAAGGCATTAAGCAATTCAGTGAGACCCTGTCTCTAAATAAAAATACAAAATAGGGCTGGGGATGTGGCTCAGTGGTCAAGTGCCCCTGAGTTTAATCCCACAAGCCCCCACATCCAAAAGTGGAATACTATAGCAGGTAGAAATAGTTCTCTCAGATAACATTATCAAGTTTACACATAAGTGGTCTTTGAAGTAAAATAAGGTACAATGATGATCAAATTTGAAGACATTTTTGAAAACTCACCATTAAGCCATCTATGCTTATGTCAAAGAAAAAATCACAATAGAAGAAAAACTATATCCTTTAAGTTATAACAATTATTTTATTTTTAAATCAACACTTAAAAAATACTCCCTGCTCAAAACTCTGGGTGCAGTCAAAACTTGGGCAGCCATCTATACCAACCGATGGTAAATCTTCTCTTCAATTGTGCCCGCCATCAAAAGCCTATACACAGTCACCTGCTTCTTCTGTCCTATCCTCCATGCTCGCTCTCGGGCCTGCAGCAGAGAGAGAGATCTTAATGAGGACCCTTCCCCTGCAAGTGCTGATTAGAAACAAAGATAGCTGGTCAGTGCTTTCACTCTCTGAGATAAAATTTTGGCTAATGAGGCCACAGACACCTAAGGCCTTTTAAAGGACATGAACAGTCAGTTGACAAAAACTGAACCAAGACATCTAGATCTGAAAAATATCCTAACTTTGCTTGTGCTCTTTTTACTCCATATCTAGAAATGGATGCTGTGGTAAACTGCTGAAAACTCTTCTGCCTATGGAACCCTAAAGGATGTGTTCATTCATGTAAAAGAACAGGAAACTACCAAAATTTGGACTGTGAATCAATTAGAACATCAAAGAATGATCACAGTGCTAACCGAGAAACTCCATTTCTACTAACACATTTTGGTTTTAAAGTAAAAGACAGACCTGTGTATCAGTGCTTGGGTTCCAGTCAGGATCGTAGATGATGACTCTGTTGGCCCCAGTCAGATTGACTCCTATGCCACCAACCCTCGTGGTCAAAAGAAACACGAAGATGGACGTGTCCTACAAGAAAGACACATGGCACTTAGCAGACACATCTGAGACTAGCTACAGCTTTTTGTTTCTGCCCACACATATTCTATATGTGGATTACTAGGCTGTTCCCAGTATGAGGAATGGTGATGTCCCAGAGACCTTTGGTGAACCAGGCTCACCTCATAATTCCTACTCAACTAATTATATTAGTAACATTTAAAAACTGGGTTTTCGGGGCTGGCATTATAGCTCAGAAGTAGAGTGCTTGCCTCGYACTTGTGAGGTACTGGGTTTGATCCTCAACACCACATACAATAAATAAATAAATAAATAAAGACATTGTGTCCATCTTAAAAAAAAAAAAAAAACTGGGTTTTCAAGAAGGACATTTTTTAAGTATATGCATATCCCACTTCCCAAAGATCCTGAAGTGTACAGAAGCACAACATCTCCCTTCAGCAGCTACCCAGCCCTAGGAAACATAAACACTGCTCAGGTGGCTGTGGATGTATTCACTCTTGTCCCTCTACATATAGCAGCACAGTCTGACTCCTTGTTACCTCATTGTATTTTGTAATCAATGGTTGTCTTGATGCTATGGTAGTGCTTCCATCCATCTTGAGATAGGAATACTTCTGGCTTCTCAGGAACACTTCTAGTATGTGTAACATCTGTTTGATGGGAGGAAAAGAGCATGCAAATAAGGTATACATCCTGGTGAGTCTTTCTCTACCTGTATAAATAGCCATATCTTCCCCAATGGGCCTATTTCCTTGGGAATAGTTCTTAAAACTTTTTAAGTAGCCCTACCTCAGGCCCAAACTCACCTTAATACCAGAATCACATCTTTTTTTTTTTTTTTTTTTTTTGTAAACCAACTCTAATCAGGTACAGTGGTGCACACCTGTAATCCCAGTGGTTCAGGAGGCTGAGGTAGGAGGATCATGAGTTCAAAGCCAGCCTCAGAAACTTAGCAAGGCCCTAAGCAACTTAGGAAGACCCTGTCTCTAAATAAATAAGGACTGGGGATGTGACTCAGTGGTTAAGCACCAATGGGTTCAATCCCTAGTACAAAAAGCAGCAGCAGCAGCAACAACAACAACAAAACAATTCTAGATGCCTTTTCTAGAGAAAGATTCAAACTCCTAAAGAGATCTGCAGGTTGCCATTTTAACAACAGTGGCAGACTTGCTTTAGAAGCATTTTAGTTTATTATACACCCCCCCCTTTTTTTTGTATTGGGGAATAAATCCAGGGTTGCTTAACCACTGAATTATATCCACAGCCCTTTTCATTTTGAGATAGCACAACCCTCAGCAAATAAGTGAGACCCTAAGTTGCTGAGGTTGGCCTCAAACTTATGATCTTACTATCTCGGCCTCCTAAGTCACTGGGATTATAGGCATGTGCAACTGTGCATGGCAATTATATCCTATTTTTAAGGCATGAAGAACAGACTTCTTTCTTATATGAAGAACAGATAGAACTTCTTTCTTTCACTCACCTGTCTTGACTGAGAAAACAGCAACACTCGCTGACCCTGCTTTTGCCATATTTTCAACAAAGACTCAACAACAATCATTTTCCCAGAACGTTTCCAGTATCCAAACTGATTTTCTTCTAGTTCATCATCTGGAAGACCTCTGAGATTTTTGGGACCTCCAGAAAAGAGATCAGGGTGGTTGCAGATTTTTCTTAGGGCTATAAGTCCAGAGAAAATCTGTGATACAAAAGAACACACGTGCACTCACATTACCCATGTACAAATAATATTCAGGAAAGAAGGAAGGGAAGGAGGCTATTCAAAAATCATTCTTTACTAGCTTCTTATTTTCTTCCCTAATAGCATTATTAGGAGCTGGAAGACATTAACTTTTGCTCATCTTCTTTCCCTGATAGGGCAATTCTCTGGAAACAAAACAATTCTATTGGACTGAACATATCTACAGGGGTCATATTCATAACTGCTGATAATTTACTTTCTTTACTAGTAAAAAATGGTATGTGTTTAACTGCATTGTAATCTTTATATAAAAACTGACTCCTTAAAAATAAAAATCTGAAATATCATAGCAATCTAAATTTAGAGAAATCAGTCATGTTAACTATCAGATATATTTAAATATTACATTCCTAAGCAACTCAATGAAATTCTGCAATTGAATGTGTGAGTGAGTCAGAGGCTGAAGTTTCATTTACCTGTATATTATTACTACATCAGAAAATGAATCTGGGGCTGGAGTTGTGGATCAAAGGTAGAGCACTTGCCTAGCATGCATGAGGCACTGGATTCGATCCTCAGCACCACATACAAATAAAATAAAGATAGTGTGTCCACCTATAACTAAAAAAAGAAAATGAATCTGCATGACAAATGCACAAATGAGAAGGATATGAAGAAAGGTTCATACAACAGAAAAGTATAAGAGGCTGGGGTAAGTATTCCCTAACCCCTGCCTCAGCCCCTGCCTGAGGACATTAACAAAACAACAAGAACAGGCCTTCTCACAGATTACAGAGTGTGACTCAAATAAAATTCATTAGCATGAGAGCTCAAGTAGAAAAAGAGATATCAGCTGGGTGTGATGGCACACACCTGTAATCCCAACAGTGTGGGAAACTGAGATAGTATGATTACAAACTCAAGGCCAGCCTCAGCAACTTTGCAAGGCCCTACACAACTTAGGGAGACCCTATCTCAAGATAAAAAATAAAAAGAGCTGGGAATTGGCTTAGTGGTTAAGAACTCCTGGGTTTAATCCCCAGTACCAAAAAGAAAAAAAAGAGCTAATAAATTAAGTGAATAATCAAAGGGATGACAATTTAAACCCCCAAACAGTTACACAAGCAAATAATAAAAGATCTGAACAAATCAGAAATACTGTGAAAACTCCCAAAGAGCCATCTCTAACTCATTTTTCTTCCTCTTGACCTGCACTGTCTGACAGAGTAGCCACTAGCCACATGAGGCTATGAAGCACATTAAGTGTGGCTAGTCTGAATTGAGATGTGCTGCAAATGCAAAATACATGCCCAATTTCAGAAACTTAATACAAAAAAAGAAGATTAACATATCTCATTAATCATTCTGAAACTTTGATTATACATTAAAATGATATTTTAGATATATTAGGTTAAATAAAATACACAATCAACATTAATTTTCTATTTATCTATTTACCTTTGTAATGTAATTGAAACTTACAGGTGTGGCTTGCATTCTCTATCTATCATTTTGATCTTGGAGGCACATGAAGAAGTGAAGGGGAGATTTAAGAGCTGAAGAAATGTGAATGATTTAGAAGCCTTTATACATACCAGTGACTGGTGAAGTAAGAAACAGATGTAGTTAAAAGAATGAAAGAAACTACTGAATCTGGAAGCACAAGCACTCAGATACTATGAACACAGGCAGCCACACTGCCTGCATTCATCTCGATCCACACACATCACTAGTCCAATGGGACAGGACAAGGACCATGACTTCAAAGCTCAGCATGGATTAAAGGATACAGAAAGGTTTGTATTCCTAAACCTGGATTCCTAAGGCTTGTTTTGAAAGTACCTCGCAGAAATGGCTCTTGCTCAGGATGACAGCAAGCAGAGTGAGCATCCTCAGCCTTAGGAATCTTATATATCAAATCAATAAGACAAAATTCACAGGGTATACACAAAGAAGGGATACAGTTTAGTCTAAAGCCCTACAGCTTTAGACTAAATGATGATTATATTTTGTACCTACTTATTTAACATACATATAACCACTATGAGCACTTAGTGCTATCTATAGTTACAATGTTATTGTAGAAAAAAATGTGTAAAAATGATTTTTCCTCAATGTGTCCACTCACACTAGCACTCTGGGGCTGTTTCCCTATATTCTGCATGGGAGCCCCAGTCCCTGAAAACCTCATCATTGCAGATGCCAATACTTAGCTATTCTTCCACTAGACCACAGGGTTGGATTCAAATACAACAGTACTGCAGTAGAGATGAAATGGAACATACACAAATTTAATGTGTTCTTTCACTTCTTCAAGGCTTGAAATTCAGTCAAAATTCTCACCAAAATGTTTTCAAAGGGTCACAGAAAATTCCTAACCAAGCAGAAGCACATGCCATCTAAATAGCATTTAGATACTAGCTTCCAGCATACAATCTCAGCAGCACATTCTTATTTTTAAAGTTCCCAGGGACAGTCCACCATGGGAACATGTTCCAGAGAGCTAAATTCTAGCACATTCATTTAGTTATATAATGTTTTTCCATTGTTGTTATTTTGATTTTTTTCTAAGAAGACATTATCTACTTCTGAATTCTGGACAACCACAGAAGGAGTTTTTGGAGTTTTGGAAGGAATAGAGTGACATAAATTATTATTATTATTATTTTTTTTTTGAGAGAGAGAGAGAGAGAGAGAGAGAGAAAATTTTTTAATGTTTATTTTTTGGTTTTCGGTGGACACAACATCTTTATTTTTTTATTATTATGTGGTGCTAAGGATCGAACCCAGGGCCCCGTGCATGCTAGGCAAGCGCTCTACCGCTGAGCCACAATCCCAGCCCATAAATTCTTTTCACACACTGGGGATGATGAGAATTAGAACCAGAGACATTTAAACCAGAATTATATTTTTTTCTAACCTGGTAGTGATTCATGTTTATTAGGGTTCAGGGCTCCCTTAAGAAACTGATGAAAATTACGAATCCTCATAATCCTCTCATTATATATAATTTCTGCCATCATTCCCAGGACAACCCAGCAATGTACCTGACACTCATCCACCTGCTAGGTGAGACCCTTGAGAGCCACAGGAACTATCGACCTCGTGGTCACACCCACAGTTGGGTTCCAGCTCCATAGCTCATGGCTACCAATCTCCCACTATTGACCTCCCTCCTTTGCACTTTACTATCTTCATGCTAGAGCTCTGACTTCATACTTCCCCACAGCTCACCAACAAATCAACTGAGATGACATGATATAGAAATCCTGGCACATTCTAGACACCAGTTTCCTTTCCTCCCCCATCTCTTCTCATACACAAGTTATACAGCTTCTGTTCTAAGGCTGACCTGCATCTCTCCATTTAGAATCCTGTAAACTTCTTTGGAATCAATGAAATTCTGGTAGACTTTCTGCTGCTCATCTGTAAGACGGCAAAATAAGACCTACAGGGGGAAAAAACAAAGAAAGTATAATTTAAAAAAAATTATTAGAATAAAGTAATTAAAATATTACAACATAAGCATTTGGTTCTCTAATCAAAAGAATACAACATGTGCAATTTTAACAATGCTACTTACTAAAACAACAAAAAATGATGATACCTCTCATTGTTGAACAAAGACCATTTCTCCATTTTTGTATCTACCTATCTCCTGGTCCCTGCCCTATTACCCCAACAGTCCCTAAAGACTAGCTTCCTGTTCACAGGCCAAGTTCAGGATCCAAGTACAGACCATTCCTGGCCTCAACGTGCCCAGACTACTCCACCTTCCATGCCCCTTATGTGCACTCTGCTCAGCAGACCTGACAGGGACCTTCACCTCACCTAGAATTCCTCTTTTCCTGAAGTTCATAAGTTAATTAGACTCATCTCTGAGGTCAATTACTCCATGCCATTGGGTTCATGGACTTCCTATCTCTCAACCTTTCTCTTTCTCTAAGTTCATCACCATCACCTCATGGCTTGACTTTCTTCTGTGGCCAGTCATATACCCCTGTGTGGCCAGACAGCTACCCTGTGTCACCAGTACGGGCCCTTTTCAACCTACTGCACTTGCCATATGAATTTCCCAGAGGCAGATCCACTCTCCCACCTGCCTTCTCGACTTTTTATGGTCAATATCTAGCACCGTCTCCCATCCTGTGGCAGCTTGCCATTTCTTGTTTCAGAGAACGCCTCCACACACACCCTGCCCAGTACCTTCCTAAAGCCCAGTGCAGCATGAGAACTGTTGTGCCAACACTCATTTCCCCAAGCTACTCCACTTCAGCCACCATTGTCTCAACTTCTATTTAAAAGCAACCATATAAAAACAAAATGATAAAAATCAAACCTGAAGCCACCAAAATCAGGCAGAATTCCCTAGTTTCCACTCCCTAAAATGTTTCTACTTCTGCATCTACCTCACCTTAGTTTCCCTTATTCCAGAGGAACAGAATCCAATACAGGATCAATGTTAACTCCTCAACCTTTGCACCATATCTGAAAACCATGACCATTAGACACTCTAAAAAAGGGAGGAAACTTCCTGAAATAATAGGGGAAAATCCTTACTTCCATTCCACTGTTTCACCTAGGTGTTTCTGCAGATAGCAAGTCTGATGGGCACCCTGACTGATGCCACTGATTTTGTTCCTATGTGTCTGTCACTAATGACTTCAGAGTTGCCAAAATCATCAGGTTCTTTCCAGTTCAGTCCATTCACCCTGTTGCTCTGCAACCCTGGCCTCCAGTCCTCCTAACCCACCTCTTACCTGTCTGCCTGGGCTTCCCTATCTTCCTAGCCAGCTTCTTTTCTTTTACCCTTTTCTTAGGTGTTAGTGCTCCTCTGGGCTGCTTGTCTTTTCTCATTCTCCACCTACTCCACGGGCAAACCAATCCCTGTTTAACACGTTCCTAGCTCATAGGTGTTAGTTACATCCTAAGATCCTCCTCAAACCTCTAGACTCATTTGCAACAGCCTCTTGGGCAAGGGAGTGTTTGCACAGGCACTTCACATGCATCATAAATTAAACCTGTCAGTCATGTCCTTCTGAAGCCTCTATAAGCCTCTATCTATTGATATATCCCAGCATCCTAAGAGGGAAATCTGGACATCACTGGGCCCTTCAAGTACTTTCTGTCAACCCCAACTTTCTACCCGTCCAAGCCACATTTTCTCTCCAAAGATTTTGGAAGATCTCATTAACTTATCCTTCTGCTTCTATTTTCTTTCCCTCAAAAAACTTTCATTTGTGGCATGAGTAGTCTTTCTAAAATATTAACCTCAGAGTTTACAATTCTCAATTTCTTACATTTGTATTTCAGTCTTAATTTCAAGGACAACAGAAAAAAAAGCCCTTCCTCTAAAACACAAAGAAAACTAAACCAATTAGTTTGCCAGGTGCTTAGCACCTAGGAATCACTGTAATATTTTTTACAAGGGATTTTTAGATGGTTACACAGAGTCAGATTTCTAGGAGTTTCCAGTCTAGTAGAGAGACTAAGAGGATCTTTTTTGTTGTTGTTGTTTAATTAATTATTTTTTATACAAATGGAGCGCTACTTTTCATTTCTTGGTTGTACCTGATGTGGAGTCACACCATTCGTGCAATCATACACTTGTTTTTTTTTTTTTTTTTTAAATACTTTTAGTTGTAGATGGACACAATACCTTTATTTTATTTATTTATTTTTATGTAGTGCTGAGGATCAAACTCAGTGCCTCACACATGCTAGGCAAGTGCTCTACCACTGAGCCACAACTCTAGCCCCTTCGGAGGATCTTAATAAAGAAACTTCTCTGCGTGTGTTTTCTGGAGGGTAGAGTGGGTGTGTCAGAATCTTCAGGTGGAGGGGACTTAAAAGCAAAGAAGAGAGACACATGTTGAAAAAGCAGAAAGTGATTCGTTTGGCTATAGCATAGTAAACACAGTTGAGATTCCATAGTGAAAATAAATGGTGTGAATAAATCAATTTGGTGATCTTAAACAGGTGATGGGGAAGGAACAGTAAAGGTATGCTGATAGGAATAACCTTGGGCAAAATTAATCCAGCAACAATGGGAAATACTGCATGGAGCAGGAAGTCTTGTTGGGTGGGAAGCTTGTCAGACATCAACTGCACCAGTTTATGACCAAAGTCATGGGTGTGAAACAGAAGAATGAAAAAGGACAAATAAAATGTTACAGCAGTGGCTGACTTGGAATTAACCAGTTCAGACAACTTTGGTTTGGGGACTTGGCTACAAGGGGAGAATGTTTAGAGAATGGGAAGATAAAAGGCTCAAAGTAGAGATAAGTGTGGTGGGAAGAGAAGAGGCAAGGATGAAAGGAAAAGTAGCCTTGATGACAGAATTCAAAAGTCCTATTCAGTTTAAACATCCAACATCTATAACRCATTTACAGGTGCCAAGCAGAGGTACAATCATCTTTTAAGATTACAGAATACCAGGATGGAATTTAGAAGAATAATTCTTTTGACACCAAGTCAAATGACATCAATCCTTCGCTCAGTATAATCCTATGACTTTCCACCTTGCAAAAAGTAAAATCTATAGTCTTCCCCATGACCAGCAGGCCCTTGACATCTGGCCTCTAGCCAGTAGTTTGGCTTCCTCCCTGTGGTTCTTATCCTTGCTCCTTTGGTCACACTGGCTTCCCTACTAGTCCTCAAGAGTACCAATGCACTGCTCCAGTCTACCCCTAGGAATAGTCTTTCTGCAACTCCCATACAACTCACTCGCATACCTTCTGTAGGTCTCTGCTCAAATGCCACTGCATCAGAGATCTTCTCAGACTATCTCATAAAAAGCCTAAACCCTTGCCCCTAGCGCTCCCCATCTCCTTGCCCAGATTCAATTTTCTCCATACTYAACCACCTGCCATCTTCTATACTTATTTGTGAGTCTCTCTACATTAAGAATAAATGTGAGAACCATGATAACTTGCCCTGCTACCTAATGTGTCCAGAGACTTGAATCATGCTGAAAACATGGTTGGCATCTAATACAATGTATAGTATGAATGAACTGGGGGCCTAAGGAAAATGAAGCTTTTAAGAAAAGTAGTTAAAAGAAATCCATGTGTTAAGAGAGAGAAAACAAAGTCCATGGGTCAGAGGAAGAGTCTAACTGAGGGCAGATGCCACAGAGGTACACCTGTCACATGCAAATAAGGACCAGCCTGCCTTACAGCACCAGGACCCACCTGTTGGCCTAATCTGTTTTTTTTTTTTTTTTTTTTAAGGAAATGTCAGGTCTATTCAGCAATCCCTCTTTACCCACACATCCACATGTACCAATCTCCTGAGGAAATCTTTGTTTCATTCTGAACCTTATTTATTTATTTATTTATTATTATTTTTGAGAGAGAGAGAGAGAATTTTAATATCTATTTTTTAGTTTTCGGCAGACACAACATCTTTGTTTGTATGTGGTGCTGAGGATCGAACCCTGGCCGCACGCATGCTAGGCAAGCGTGCTACCGCTGGAGCCACATCCCCAGCCCCCCTAATCTGTTATACACAGGAAAATCAGAGTGAAGGGGCAGGCACACCTGTGCTTGAGGACTATTTGGTTAAATTCTATATTTACAGACCTGTTCATTTTTATCTGGCAAAGAAAGGCTCATCTTGACATCTGACTTCATTCTCCGCAGAAGGTATGGGTTTATGGTGTCTCGTAAGACACACGCACACTTATAAGCAGTTTTAACCTGTAATAAAAGAAAAAGGAGAAATTACTACATCTAAGGAATGCATTTGTTCTTACCTCTCAACAGATTCCACTGCTGAAAAACAAAAAGAATGACTATGGTTGTACAAAAGTGGTTGGAAATGGTCAGAAAATGGCTTGAAAAAATTTATAAAAGTTCTGTATACTTTAGGTGATGGTGGCTTTCATAATATCACCAGGTGCAAAACTGATCTCATTAACTAAAATGTACAACAAAAGAAAACTCAATAATTTTGTGCCTTATTCCTCTTCAATACTTGCTTTAGTTATTATTATATAGTTAGACCTTAAAGTAGAGATTTGTGTGATTCTTAACCACTCTCCAGGGAAAAACCGCTTTCAAACAAGACTGTTTATAATCTTGTATTCTCCAAAAGCTACAAAGGAAATGCTACTCTGTAAGACTGAAGATCAAAAGCTAAGTGTGGGGGAAGCTGCAGCAATGGAAGCCACCAGCTAATAAACAAAGATTACTGCCCACTAGAGACTTAGGAGACTAAGTTCAAGAGGAGCCCTATGATCCCAGAAATGAAAGGTCACTCTAGCCTAAAATGGAACATATGGCTCCGTAATGGACACAGTCACACAAGAGGGGTATTAACTGTACATAGAAAAACAAAGACCCACAGCCCAGGAAACCCCTCCCTCTGCAATTTACTTAAAAGCAAACAAAGACTTCAATAGATTATTAATAATTAAAAAAACAGGCTTAAGAACTAAGTAAATTACTATTTCACAGAACAAGAAAAAAGTCCAAAGTTTTAATGCAAAAAAAATTAGCTATAAAATCATTGATAGTGAGGAGCTTGACCATAATACACAAAGAAAAGTTCAAGTTAAAAATATTAACCTTGTAAAAAAAGAAAACATTTTTAAAAAGCATAAGAACATCTCACTCAAGCCCATGTCCATACATGTACAGTGTGTAAGCATGTGAATGGGTGTGCACCCCCACCCCCAAAAAAAGGTGTTACCTGGGATAACAGAAACTAACAAAGAATTCAACTAATCAACAACTTTTAGTTTTATAATAATCTCCAGCACCTCAAGTGTATCATTGGATGCTGATCAAAATTACGTTTAAGATAATCATAAAGTACATGATTTGTGATGCAGAGATGATTAAATTTCAGAATTTAACAATACATTATGGTCTCACGGAGGAAGCAAGTGTTTCAATACACTGAGGAGATTTCCCTCATCCTCCCTTTGCCCACATCTCTCTCCTGCTGGTTGTAGATACTAGTAAACTAAAACAGAGCTGGCTGGGAGGGGCCAGTCCCTCAGCTTTGCTCTTTCCTGCACGCCAACTCCCAGGCAGTGATCTTATATTTAATTCCCACCTGGCTCCCATGGCTGCCTGTTATTAAAAAAATAATAATAATAAGGGGGTGATCTAACTGTATTTCTCTAACTTTCCCAGGCCCCCAGTGCTATGGAAAATGGATACCTCACTGCACATACCAATCTTCTTCCTGACAAGATGGAGAGGTGATTATAATCCCCCAGCTCTGCCTCTTAGACAAGTCACCAAAACAAGGAGTCTCAGTTACCTGGACTATAAAATGAGGAAAATATCTCCTGAGGTTCTTTGCAGTTCTGAAGTTCCATACCAAAGCTGAGTGCACCTACCAAGGGAGCAGTCCACCCTGTTGGCTACTGGTGTTCTGCCCTTACCTTCCTCAGCCCTATTAGTTCTGGCTTCCTCATTCCTTCTTCAGGAGGACTTTCTTGAGCACTACAGTCTCTGATAATGGGTATCTCCCCTGGTCACAGTCCTCATTATTCGGTTCTGGGATTTTCATTTACCATTTTCCTTTTGTATGCCCCACACTGGACTAGAAATACTATTCATAGAAGCTTCTGGCTTCCAGAGCCCTCTCGTCATGTTAGCCACAGCCTGACACAATAATTACCAACGAACAATCTTTATTCTTAGGACTCAATAGCACATGGCAACCCCATTCTAACACAAAAAGAAGCAAATTAAAAACACTAGAAAGGGAAAAGGAGTCCTCTTTTATCTGCACTTTTACTTTGCATGGTTTCAGAACCAGAGGTTAACTGTAGTCCAAAAATATTAAATGGAATATCACAAAAGACAGGACATAGAGTTGGATACTCTTGATTTCAGGTATCCACCAGATGCCTCAGAACACAACCCTTGCAGATGATGAGGGGTGGGGGAGGATAACTACTACACAAACTCCTRAATCAAAGACTTCAAGGAAGAAAGATTGTATTTACATGTTCTCAAAATGTCTCTCCACAGAAGACTAATTCCAAAGCAAAAGTATAACTTCAGAGTTTAGAAATCAAGCCAAAACTTTATCAAGCAGTCACCAATGATGGGACAAACGAACAGCTGGTGCCGCCAAGTAGAATGCACTGAGAAAGAGAGATCACTCCTGCAATATTTCTGCCAAAAATGTATAATCTGATCCAAATATGAAGGAACATAAGAGAAACCCAAACTTAGGTACAGTCTAGAAAAATAACAGGTCGAGCAGCCTGCAGCAGGGCCCGGAGA